AATAATCTCTATACTTTCTATACTACTACCACTAGTACCTTCGACTATATATTTTACCTAACAATACTAAATAGACTACCTACTACTACTAAACTACCTACTCTCTCTCTCTCTCTCTCTCTCTCTCTCTCTCTCTCTCTCTTTCTCTTTCTCTAAAAACTTGAGAACGACTTGGTCCACTAGCCTGGCCATTAGAGCCTCTTATAACCCTAACGATTCATGGAACCCCTTTCAATTTATTGTCAAATCTGGAATAGGGTTGTAAGGCTCACCTGAGAGGTCCCCAATGTCCATGGCTGTCAAGTTCAGTTTGTTTGGGAGAGAAAATCCTAGGTTCACCCTCCAATTCAGGCCTGAATCCGATGATTTCATGGTCAGGAAGTCGCTCAGGTCCTTCCAAGCCAAGAATCCAGTGGTTTTCAAGTCAAATTACTGTTTTTAGGTGGGGAACGGTGGTTTTCAGGTGGAGATAGAGAGTGACAAGGAGAAGGGAAACATCAGTTGTGGTATTCCTAATATTAAGGAGGTGGTTTCAGAGGTCAATTTGATGGTGAGGAGCGGGTGGCTTTCAGGTGAAGGTAGAGAGTGATAAGGAGAAGGGGAACATTAGTTATTGTTTTCTTGATATTAAGGAGGTGGTTTCAGGGGTCAATTTGATGGTGAGAAGCGGGTTCCCTCTAAGAAAGCACGAAGCCTTGAAGCTTAGATGGGGTGTAAATTTTTCAGCAAAAAGGGAGAGTATCCAGGCCGGAAATGGGCTCCCTTACCTGACAGTGGATAAGATTGGTATGGAGTCAGTGAATGAGGAGGAGGGGAGGGCGAGTTTAGTTTTCGGATGAGTGGGTTGTCGAAAAAGGAGGTGGAATTTATGAAGGGCATGTGCTTTGTTATGAGGAGTGAGGTGGAAGGGTTGAAGAGAGAGAATGGGGTGATGAGAGAGAGTATTGAGAGAGAGAATGGAGTTTCGAGAGAGAGACGGTGATGGGAGAGAGAGAGACATTTATGGAAGAGAGAGATATAGAGTTTTACAGTGTCATTTTAGTGTTTGTTTGGGTCAAAAATTTATGGTTAAAGAGATCCAGGGGGTTGTAAGATAGAAAAAATGAAGACTTTTTGCTTAGAAGTAATATTTTCAATTCTTGGGTCTCATGAGATATAGAAATTAAAAATAGAGGATAAAAGGATATTTTTCCTTTTATATAATATAATAACATAAATACTATATAATATTATATTATATATTATAAATAAATATTATATTTATATATAATATATAATATTATATTAAATATTAATATATATTAATATAATAAAAAATATATATATATATTTAATAATACAATAAATATATATTATATATAATATATAATCAATATATACTATATAATATAATATAATATATAATAATATACATTAAAATATTATATTATATAATAATACTAATATTATGTATTTATATTAAGGTGCGGTTTGTATAGAGCCTAAACAATCAAATTAGAGCCTACCTTCAAATAGTGTCGAGAATGTGGTTTTAATACGGGAATTCTTTGTGATAGCTTTAAAATATATTTTTATATTTGTTTATAAAGTTTAACGCTTAAAAAATAGTGTAGATCAACAAATCTATGAAAACTTGAAAATCTTGAAAATTGATGGTAAAAAAATGCGTCATAAAATGCACTATTTCCAAAACTTAAAGTCCATTTTTTTTTTCCATATCCATACATCTTGATGTCGAGATGATCAATTTAAAGATATTTGAGCATCAAAACAACTTCTTCTAGTGAAATTTTTGATGTAGGCTCAAAATTTAATTGTTTAGAGCCCCGGGCTTTATATAAACTTTTCCCTTTATATTATGCATAGTGAATAGTGAATAGTTAATAGTGATCAACAAAAAAGTTATGAAAGATTAAGTTCCTAGCCTACTAGGAGTTTAATCTTTCACTTTTTAATAAAGGAATGAGAACTTTTGTCGAAAGATTAGTTTTTGAACTTTTCATGAAAAGTATGACACAAACGCATAACTTTTTCAAAATCTGAAAGAATACTTTTAGAAAAACAAAGACACCCTTAGAGAATCTTTTAGGTGCACCTTATTTTAGTTCTATAAACTTGACAAACTTTTTTAATATCAAGCAAAAGGGGAGAATTTTTTTTGGAAAAAGTTTATTTATGTTTGCAATCTTAAAATGTAGAACTATGGTGCACCTAAAAAATCCATCGTAAAAGATTTTTTTGAAGTTGAAAAACTCTCTGATTGATCATCTTTACACTGAGATGTATGAATAAGAAAAATAAAATAGATTTTAAGTCTAAAAAACCAGGCATCTTGCAACACATTATCTAGACTGTCTATTTTTAAGATTTTTCATACATTTATAAATCTGCTTGATTTCAACCATTTTTGGAGTTTAGCATTTTATAATAGTCTAAAATGGATTGTTACACCATCCTAAGATTTCTTGATATTAGAATTCACTGTTGGAAAAACCGGACGATCTAATTGCTAAGCACCTTATATAAGAACCGACCAGTGGCTAGTTCCGGTTTTGGGCGGTTTTGGTTATCGACTGGTATTTTTTTAAAAAATGTATAAAAATTTTCAAAAATAAGGAATTTTGTTTGCAATGCATATTTTAATATTCTTTACGTTACGGTAAAAATTAAAAAATTTTTTAGTCATTAATACTCACTTTTAAATTTGGGAAAAGTTTATATAAAGCCTAGGCTCTGAACAATCAAATTAGAGCCTACCTCAAAAATTTCACTGGAAGATGTTGTTTTGATGCTCAAATATCGTCAAACTGATCATCCCGGCATTAGGATGCATGTACTTGAGAAATAAATGAATATCAAATTTTTGAAATAAGTGCATCTTGTAATGCATTTCTAGACCGTCAATTTTTATACTATTCAAGTTTTCATAGATCTGCTCGATCTACAATAATTTTGAAGCTTTTAATTTTATAATTAAAGATGAAAATATATTTAAGGCTAGTTAAAGATTTCCAGTATTGAAACCACATTTCTCCATACTATTTGAAGGTGGGCTGTAATTTGATTGTTTAGAGCCTCGGCTCTATACAAATCACACCCCTTAAATTTTTTCATCGTTTTTAGAAATTTTTTAAAATACCTTTAGGCACAAATCCATATGTTAAAAGTCATTTTTTCTCTTAATTTTCAATTTCATTTGAATGTGTTTTGTTTTAATCATTCTCTATAGCTTTTTTTATATTTTAGTAGAATTTTTTTTGGTACTCTTTATTAATTCTTTCAACACTTTTTACACCGCCTGGGACTTGTGTGGTTAGAATGATTGAATCAGCCGATTTACTGATTAAACCGATTGAAACGTTTCCAGGCCCATGTTCGGTTAACCGTTCCGATATGAATTTGCTAACAGCACTAAAATTGCATCTCATCATAAAAGTTTGGGTCTGCTCCTTAATTTTGTTATTTTTATTTTTATTTTGTTTTATTGCAATGAAGCTTGTTTCAGAAGTCAGGGGCACCTATTGTAATTCTTCTCACATAATTTGTCGGACATATTTGCCGTGATAATTGCAGAGATAGAAAGAGAGAGAGAGAGGAGTATTTTGAGTTTAGTTGTAGTAGGCAGGTAGGAAGTAACAGGATTTGTGTTGGTAAAGCAACAAGCACTTTGACAAGGTTAGTTTCTCTGTCTGTATTGTGATCCTATTCCTTCCTTTCTGAGATCCTTTACTAGTACATGTCCTTTTTAAGTGTTCAAGATGCATGCGGTTCTCACATGCTCCATTTCTAGGGTTCTCTCTCTGTATTTCAAATTTTTTGGATATTGTGAAATTTTCTTTTAGGACTTTTTATTCTGAAAATATTTGTATTTCTCCATTCTTTGCCTTTCTCAAATTCTCTATCTGCTCTTGTTTTTTTTTGGAGAAATTATCTGCTCAATTTTCTTTTTTCTTTATATATGAATGTATGGATGATTTAATGTAAAATACATTTATAAGTTTATTTATTTTACTCCATGAATTCTTTCTTTATAAAGTTCTTGAGTTTGTATGTGAATGATTGCATGTCATATGCTTTCTTCTGTGCAGTGGAAGTTTGATAATAGATTGCAACATAACAACAGGTATTAAAATATTTACTGCCATCAAGGGTAAGGCTAACCATAATAAAGTGAGTGAATATGAATAAATAACCACAAGTTTGTTGCATTTTTCGAAATTGCTATAGGAGTCTCTGTAAGTTGAAAAATATGGAATTAAAAGAAAAAACTATAAATGATGTTGTGTCTATTATTCTTTTTTAGGAGACACCCACTGGGTAGGCAGTGGCATAATATATACAATTATAAGTTTGTCTTTAGTTTCTTCCTTTGTTTCTTGCAGGAGCATGCGAGTAAGCGGCCTTCATCGCATAGCTTCTTACGTAAAAATGTTTATGCCTCATTTTTCTCCCTAATGTTGAAGTGTGACCATGGATATTGCCCACAAGGATTTCAAGAACATCACACTTGAAATATGTGGTGTATTATTGAAGAGAATGATTTATGCATAGTTAGCAATACCATCTTTTTCTTTTTCTTTTCCTTTTTATGTTGTCCTTTAAAGAGTCAACAATACTCCCAATTATTTTAAGAACTGTTTCCGTAAATGCATTTTAAAAGGTGTATCTTCGAAGTAGTAATAGAACTTTTTTTTGGAATAAAATGAAATATTTCCATACTCTGCGTAATTTAAAAAGAAAGCATTTTAAGAGAACTTGTACAAAGAATATTAATCCTCCTTGTTGCATAAATTTCTATCTTTATGGTATGTTTGTGCTTTGATCTTTATATTTGAAAGTGATGTTCCTTGGGCACCATAGCTCGTCTTGTATGCTTGGAATCATCACCAGCATGGGTATCCCCCATTTATCAACTTTGTTTAACCTCTTTCTTGTTTACCATCGCCTACAAATCACTCATCTAGCTGCAATGAAGAAAACCAGTTTCTAGGTCTGACTTGATATCTTCCTACGGACCTCACTAGCAATGCCCCCAGGTCTTCCAGGATAATATTAAAATTTCCTTTTGCACCCTTTCTTCTTGGAACATTCCTTTTCAGCACTGCCCAGTTTGGCCTTGGCACCTAAATACCATTCTCACAAGGACTTAGATCCATCTCCTTAATGCCTTGTTCGTATAATAGTATAGTACTCCATGTAGATTTAGGCCATGGGGTTGTCATTCTCTATTACCTGGGTAATTGATGCTGCAGAGGAATTTCATTTTGAGGCTGTCCTCTATTAAGTTCTGGATGTTTGCGTGGCTGGGGAGGGTTTTAGCTGGAATGGTGTGAAGTCCAAGCAATGGGTGGGTGTGAGGGGGTCAAAGGTTGGAAGCTGATTCACAAAAAGGTAATGATATGAGGGTGGATCATTGATTAAAAGATCACTGTGCTGACTTGGGAACTCCCCAAGTAAGATTGGATCGGACTGGCAAGTCTGGAGACAAAACCAAGGACTTGCCCCGAGTATCACCTGGCTTTGGTATATTTTCACAGAATCAGTCTAGTTGTGTTCAACTCGGACTCGGACTAGGACTAGGATGATTCGGTCCAGGTCACTCGGGCTCAGAACGCTGGCAGGTTGAAGCCCACATCCTGGTTTTCCAACACTGGGGAGGATGGATGGTCATCAGGTTTTGAAGAGAAGGGAGCAATGGATGTTTAATGGATGGTCTCCTGGAAAATTCTAATGAGGCATTGAAGCTGCAACAGAGGGTTCCAGAGAAAGCAAAGTGGCTGGATCAAGGCCTAAGGCAGATTTTTTGGAGAAGAAAGGGTAATGGCATAGTCTGCCTTTTTGGTTCTTGTCTGGCATAAATGTTTAGGCCATATCCTTATTCCTCCTTCCAAACATTCTCTAGGTTTGTCATATTGTCCTTCATGGTTTATAACAGATGCCCAACATCACCAATCTGTGTGTTTCAAGTTAGAGAAATGACTCTGTTTTCTTTGTATTTTCTAAGGTATAGGAGGCAGAAGTTTGAAAAATTGAACTTTTCCTCCATGTTTTAAAAATTGACCCCATCATTCTTTTTCTATTTCTTTCTGAAAAATGTTTGTATTTTATAATTTCATAAATGAAATATAATGGTGGTTTCTAATTCCCAAAATGAATGCCATGGCCAAAATAAGAGACACTGATTGTTCATTGCTTAACTTGAGATTTTTCAGCAAATATCAATCAAGGAATGGTACATGGTTGTTTCTTTTCACATATTTCTTTGGATATCAATCAAGCAAACTAAGCATAGGTACCTCTCAGGTACCTATGCTTATTGAGGTACCTATGCTTAGTTTGCTGATTTCATTCACTTTTCCAGTTTGGAAAACAGAACTTAATTATATGTGATGTATGCGTATTTTGTAGATTTAACACAGGATTTTTCCATTGTTTTGTTGTGCTTTCTCTTGTATGGAATATATCTCTTTCTTGCGATTTATTTTATCATGGATTTTTCTTTTCAAAATATTTAACTGGAATTCCTTTTTTCTAAGATTTAACCTTATTCTCATGTTGGTCACAACTCACAAGTGATGATGTGACATGTATTGCAATCATGGGAATTGTTAATTGTTCATCTTGCAAGAAACAAAGTTAGTGTAGCTAGTGGTGTACTATATGTTCGTTAACTCTTGGTTTTGTCTATTGCAATGGTAATTTGGCTTTTGTAATGGTCTTTTCCTTTGAAAATAGAGTGGACTGTGTTGACATTTGACCCATTTGTTAGATGAACAATCATATTAGATCTTTGTTCAAGTCGAGATGCAACATTCATTAAAAATACCTATGTATTAGTTAATGCATAGTAAATTCATTTGGATGTACATTATGGTTGCATATTTGCAACTTTAGGGGCTGGATTTATTTGGCGGAGTAGAGTTTCTTGGGGATTTAGAGGTAGCAAATTTTGAATAGCTATTACTTTGAACCACTGCCTGCAGTAGGATTGCCAAATCTGATTTTGAAGTTCACATGTAATGATGTCTTCAAAGATCCAGGATTGGAGTAGTTTTGGGCTTTGATAGTGAATATTTCAATAAAATATCTAGTATCTCGCAAATATTAGATACAAGATATCACTTATAGTGGATTCTTAGGATGTCCATCTATGTACCCAATTTGTATATTTTGATTTTCACTCCAAATTGGCTCACTTTTGTCAGTTACTAAGTGATGATGTGGTTCCCAAGACCCTCAAGGAAGGGTGGTGAATGTAGAAGAAGACCCATTATTCTAAAACTTGCTTGTGTTTACTCGGAATCGGGGGAGTTACTTGGATTTGGCACTCTACTGAGTCTGAAACAGGGTACATAACATGTACCCTGTATATACATGTACAGTACTAGGGTTAGCAATTCGAGCTAAAATTGAGTCATGGGAAGATTTTAGCTGATCTAGCAATTCGAAACAGTGTATTTGAGGAGGGAGGGCGGGGGGAAAGATCTGAGAGTTTTTGACATCAAAAAAATTGGTTAAAGGCTTTCGGTTGATTTTGAAAAATTGCAATTTCTCCAATCAATGGTCAATATTTGAGGAAATTTAAGCCGTAACCCTATTTGTGTTTTCTTAATCCAACCATGGGCTTGATTTTCACAAGAAAAAAAAAAAGGATTTGAGAAATTTCAAACACAGATGTACTATTAATCCAAAATTTTCAAGAGTTTGGATCTCCTAGATCGGAACTCAAAATTGAAAACCCATCAGGCGGTTTTGATTGGGTTTATGTGAGGAAGCGTTGACATGGATTTCAGACATTGATTCACACCAAGCGTGAAGATTGGGGATCGATATTGAAATTTTGGGTATGTTTCATTTTTTTTTTCGATTTAAATTCTTAAAATTGTTATATTTTTTGCCACTTCAATTGCAGTTTATTTTGTCTTTTTTATAATTTTGATAATTTTTTGTCTTTATGATTTATCATTTTTTTCAGTTTTTTCTACTTTTTTAAGCCAATAAAATTTTTTCTTCTTTTTTAGTTTTATTCTTATTCCATGTTTTATATACACACTATCTGATTTAGTAAGAAAATTTTCAGTTTTTTATTTTTTTCTATTTTTTCTTCTTTTCCACAATTTTGAGTAGTTCTTTTCATATTTTATGGGCCTTTCTCAAGTTTAGGCAAGTCTTTGGTGAGTTGACTTGGACTTGCCCAAGCCATTCGGCTCTGCATGGGCTCAAGTACCTTGGTTGAACCGTGTTTTAGAACATTGAGAAGAACCCACAAGCTCAACTAGAGGCACCCGAGATGGGTGTTGGTCCCACTTGAGTCCAAAAACTCCAGTTCTCTATATTTAGGGTTCATGTTTTTCTTTTTTTTTTTATTAATATTTTATGTTTTGTTTGTTTTGATGGGTGTCCATTTTGATTTAGGATTTGAGTTCTTTATGTTTGTTCCTAAGTGGAGTACGTTTTCTTTATTGCACTTCCTTACTCTTCCTTTAAAAAAAAAAAAAATTGTTTCCTAACTTGGCGAGATTTCTTTATGTTCGATGGATTTCCTTTTTTTAGTAGAATAATAGAAGTCAAATTGGGATTACTTGTCATCCAAGTATGATTGGAGTATGATTCTAGCAGTAATATGAATATATGCATGGGACTATGGTGGAGGCTATGCTTTGAATAAGTTAAATTACTCCGGCAAGATTTTTGGTGGTGTTGATTCCATTGTTGAGGTGTTGACTTCTTAAACCATCTTTGGTAGTAATTCCGCTAGCCCTAATCTTGGTGGTATGATTTCATTGAAGGTCATTTCCGTGGCTTTCTCTCTCTGTCTGTCCATTCTCTACCCCACACGCTTGTACCAATTCTTCTTTATTCCTTCTCCAAGACCATCAAAGTTGTCTCTCTCTCATCCCAGCACCACCCACCCCCCCAACATCTACCCATGCCATCAAACTCTTAACAATCATCACAATCTTCTGTTTACCATTCTAACCTTAAAATTAGTTCATTTTCTGCCATTTGGACCCCAACTACAACCCAAACCGTAGCTTAACAACTAATCTCTAGCCTACCTATGCCTCCATGCCAAACCCCAAATCTCTAAATTCCATGGACTCCCTTATAAACCCTAAATTCCATCTAGACTCCCATGCTAAACCCTAATTTACCCTAAACCCTTGCCATAAACCTATCTTTTATATATTTCGAACCTAACCGTAATCTGGAACCAAAAACTAGCTCTACTGGTGTAAGATCTTTCTGGTCCTACATCACATAGCCTCCCTATCTTTTGGTGATTCTCCTTTCATGTGGGCATACACCCCCATCAAATTGGGTTAAGTGACTCCACTTCTTTATATATTTATATTCTTATTCCTTTAGAAGGAAATGCAGTAGCGAATGAATCCGACTCGTATGGGGGTTGGAATGAAAACTTGAATTTAATCTTAGTTTAGTATAGGGAAATTATCGCTAATGTACCTTAATTCTAATAAAATCGCAAAACAACCCCCAACTTCTCAAAACCTCGCCCACACCCTTTTTCTTAATTTTTGGGATTTTTTGGACGAAAATACCCTTTACGGTAGTCTTTCTACTGTAATACATTTTGAATATATTACAGTAGAAAGACTACCGTAATAGTGTGAAGATACATTACGGTACTTTGAGTACCGTGATGAACATTACTGTAATTTTAATACTGTAAAGAACATTATGGTACTTTAATTACCGTAATACATAAATATATTCTTCACGGCATTCTTAGTACCGTAATGCTTTGAAAAGCTTCAAACCAAAGCTAATATTAGGGCTACCCCTCTTCTCTCGGGCTCTGCGAAATCAAAACCCAGGGGCACCTTTTTTTGGCAAAATCCCAAAAATTTCTCTCTAATAATGCATTTTCAAATAAATACATAGCAAAATTGGAACAAGTTCGAGTTTTTTTTTTTTTCTTAATGTATATACTGTATATAGTTTATCCACCACCATGTGGGTATTTTGCAGAGAAAAAACAATGGTTCTACAAATTGTTATGAAGTGTTTTCATACAATCTAAACATCTTTCATGAATCAAACAACTAATTTTTCAAGAAATGTACAATTTGAGACTGCAAAAAAACAATTTGAGACTGCAAAAAAAGCGATGACATATGTTATGAAGTGTTTTTCGTCAAGAGTGGAGTCCTAGTGTTGGTGTTCTACAGAGAGATCAACCTCTTGCAGATGTCCAAAGAAAGGCCTTTGCTTTCTTATACATCACCAAAATTTGGAGGTGTTTTGTAGGGACTATGCAAAATCGATTAGAGTTTGGAACGAGAATGGGTTCTTCTGGCCTTGGGTCGGTGTTTTTGTGCATAAATTTAGCAGGCATAGTGCATTTATGGAGAAATGTAGCAGAGGTTTTGGCTGAGGTCACAGGTGTGTTGCGAAAGAGAGTACAATTTGGTGGTGAACTTACTTGGGGTGGAGTTCTGGGAGAATGCGGACGAATTTCAGTACATTTTGTTAAATTGTTTTTGAATTCCTAGAGAGAGAAAGAGACTCAGGGTGGGCCAGCCAAGACAAATTTGCTCTTGCTCCATTTTTTTTCTCTGCAAAATACCCACATGGTGGTGGGTAATCTGTATATGGTATATACATTAAGAAAAACAAAAAAAAAGCTCGAATTTGTTCCAATTTTTCTCTGTATTTATTCGAAAATGAAATATTAGAGAGAAATTTTTGGGATTTTGCGAAAAAAATGTGTCCCATGATTTTGATTTCGTAGAGCCCGAGAGGAGAGGGGTGGCCCTGGTATTAGCTTCGGTTTGAAGCTTTTTAAAGCATTATGGTACTAAGAATGCCGTGAAGAATATATTTATGTATTATGGTAATTAAAGTACCGTAATGTTCTTTACGGTATTTAAATTACCATAATATTCTTTATGGTACCGTAATGTATCTTCACACTATTATGGTAGTCTTTCTACCTTAATACATTCAAAATGTATTACGATAGAAAAACTGCCGTAAAGGGTATTTTCGTCCAAAAAATCCCAAAAATTTGGAAAATGGGTGTGGGCGAGGTTTTGGGAAGTTGGGGTTGTTTTTGCGATTTTCTTAATATTAAGGTATGTTGGCGATAATTTTCCTTTAGTATATGGTCACATACTTTATATGAAGGGATTGTATACCATGAGACCATTTGACTTTGACATAAGGTGGTCACAAATCCTTACAACCATTTGATGTGAAATTTGAAAGCTTGAATGTGTCACAAAGTTCGAGAAAATTTCTTTTGAAGTTTGAGCTTGATCAATGGAATAATTACAGCCACCCAATTGCACATCCAATGGTCAAGATTAATGTGACCACCTTGTATCAAAAGTAAATGGTCTCATTCTATACTTTCCCTTATATGAATTACTAACGGAAAAGGTGACTAAAACAAACATATTACATGCAGAAGGTAAAAAATACTTTTGCACAAATGCATGTTCACAATAGAAAAAATACTGCCCTTGCACTTTTTAAATATTTCAGGGCCGCCCTGAACTTCTCCTTTTGGGGTTTTAACTACATCAACACCAAGAAATTATTATAGCATATGGGTAATACGGACAACCTGTGGAATGACACTCCTTTGAGAGGTGCTTTTGTAGGAAATATATGTTGATTCAGGAGGCACCAGAAGTAACACATGTTAGATTCCTCTTTTTTTTACCTTTGCAAATAGTCAGTTTATTTGGTAAGTCTCTTGGAAGCTCCACTCTTCTATCCGTGGAAAGAAAACTTTCACATTTGATGTATGTACAATTCTTTGAAGTTGTGCATGCAAATCAATTGCCTCATTGCAGATTAATCCTCAAACATTTGCCCTGTTTTTTTTTTCCTTAGTGTTATTGAAAATGCATTAGCTGTTGTAAGGCAAACACTAGCACTTGAGGTTTCTCTAACCTATTTTGGGAAACTATCCATCAGAGGTCATAATATAAATTTCATTTGTATATGTCATGTGACTGAGGGTATGGGAATGGCCCTTGATAGAGCAAAATGACAGAATAAGATTTGTGTAGCTGATACCAAATAGTTGGGATAAGGCTTGGATGATGATGATGATGTGTTTGTCATGTCAAGAATTTCTATTTGGAGTCCTAAAATTGGAACCTGGTTACATAGTTGTGGATATCTTAGGGAAATTTCAAAGGCGATCTTGTGTTGCTTTTTGCCACCAACCTGACTGTATACCATTTCTAGTCCTGCTTTTTCTTTTGTCTACGACCTGCAGTCCCCTTCTTTCTGAAATTCTGATCTTCCCACGTTCCACCTTTCATTAAATCTATTCATGACTGCTTGACAGTCTGCCCATTTGGGTTTATTATTTTTCTTTCATGTGGCAGAACAGCAATGGTTCAAAGTCTTCAGACAGATAATCTGTTCTACAGTTCTCACTGATTTTATTAGATGCATTTGGGTTTCAACTGTTGGGTTGAAACTCTTTGGGCATTTCCCAGATGTCGCTTTCTAAATGCCCAAGTGCAGCATCCAAATCTGTAATTTTCGTCTCTCTTTAATGTCAAATATTTTACTAAGTCAATAGAGAGAAAAAGGGATTACATGATCTTATGGATAACTTTGCGAACTTTTTGATGTACGCTTTTGATAACTTTGAGAACTTTTTGATGTACGCTTTGGATAACTTTGAGAACTTTTTGATGTACGCTATTGGCTAATGGTTCTTCTTCGTCTTTTGTTGAAGATGCACATTTTTCTCAAAAGATCAGATGGGAGTTTTTTCACATTTTTTAAAACGATTTGTGTAGATGGATTCCTTTAATTCTCAAGTATGTCAATGAGCACTTGATAAGATGATAACGCTATGTTTCATTTTCATGAAATTGTGAAGGACTCAAATTTAATATGGAAAAGTACTGTGTCTAGAGAAATAGCACAGGACTTTAGATCTGCTTCATGGCAATTGAAATTCCTTCTTATCCTAGTGAAGACTCATTTGTATTTCTACTTTATTTGTGTCGCAACGTAAATGCCTCCTGACATTTCTGAAGTGTTCCTGCAAGCTGCTGCGAGGGAGCTACAGGAGCACTTCTTTATTATGATTCAACTGATTGTGTTTTTGTTTGAACTTATAGCCAGACTTCGAATGGACCATGCAATTTCTGCAAAGAATATTTAGCTAAATGTCTCGGTCAAAATGAGAAACAATTCAATGATTTTTTTATCCAAATTACATCAGTTATGATAACACAGCATGTAACATAGTAATCTATGTTTTCGATATTTATTTGTGTTATGCATTAGGTTTGTGATGATACCTGAATTTGGAACATGCATCGCAACCAATGAGTTCAGAAAAGCTAAAATATAAGTTCTTTGTAGGCCTTTTGCATGTGGGTCCTCTGATTACACTTCTCAAGGTTGGCTCTACATGCTTTTGCTGTAAATGTGGTTGCTGATGATATTAGGCAACAGGAAGAATTTCTGGCCCACTGACTGGTTTTCTTCATATACAATAGTTGGCACACTTTTTTTCTCTAAAACATTGTCAAAATTCAGTCATGGAAAAGTAATTGGTGAGCATTGGCCTCAGCTAGAAAAGTGTGGAGCCCCCTCATTTCTCCATATTTTAGATGATTTGAGGGGGTCTAAAATCTACAAATTTATCCTTGATGCCAATATCAAGATCATGAAAAAAATGAATTTGGAGCCCGATAAATTCTCCATGTTGAATGCCATCTCAAGATCTTCCTGGGTGTACAGTTCTACTATCCAGTGGTTTAGCTCCACTCTTCTTGGATTACAAATGAATTTATCAATTGATCTGTACTGTGGTGATACATTGATAACTAGGTTGTATCCATTGAGAAATTTGATTTTAACAAAGTTCCAATTGATTGCTCTGATTCTAAATATGTACTGATCATAACTCTGGAGATTCAATGGTTTCTTTTCAGTTCAATGGATGAACAAAAAATGAGCATGAGACAAAACTAGATCAAAGTGCAACACATCAATTACACTCTCTACAACAAAGAGGGAGAATGGATCAGTCAGGGCAACAACAGCAACATCAGCCGCAGCAACCAGTCATGGGGGTGGTGAGTGGGGCTGCTCAAATTGCATATGCTGCCCCTCCCTACCAACCTGCCAACATGGTTGGCGCGCCTGGTGCTGCTCCTTCCCCTGTGGGCGCCGCCGGCCAGCCCCCCTCCTTCCCCACCTCCCCCGCCCAACTCATGGCGCAACACCAACTCGCATGCCAGCACCTTCAACACCACCACCAACAACAACAAGCCCAACAACTTCAAGCCTTTTGGGCGAACCAGATCCAAGAAATTGAGCAAACCACTGACTTCAAAAATCACAGCCTTCCCTTAGCGCGCATCAAAAAAATCATGAAGGCTGACGAGGACGTTCGTATGATATCCGCTGAGGCCCCGGTCATATTTGCCAAGGCTTGCGAGATGTTCATCCTGGAGCTCACCCTTCGCTCTTGGATCCACACTGAGGAGAACAAACGCCGAACCCTGCAAAAGAATGACATAGCAGCTGCTATTACTCGCACGGACATCTTCGATTTCCTGGTCGATATAGTACCGAGAGATGAGCTGAAGGAGGAGGGAGGGCTTGGAGTTGGGAGAGCAGGGCTGCCGGGTGGACCCAGTGATGCAATGGCCCCCTATTACTATGTGAGCCCACAGCAGGTGCCTCAAGTTGGTGGGGCACCCGGGATGATTGTGGGGAAGCCAGTGGTGGACCAGGCAGTGGCTGCAGCTTTGTATGGTCCTCGTCCGCCAGTGGCATATGTGCCGTGGCAGCAGCCACAGGCACCGCAGCAGACACAGGGACAGACACAGCAACAACAGATGCCTGATAGTGGGTAATGAAATAATGCATTGTCTTTTTGTGCCGTTTTTTTTTTCCAGAACGAGTTAGTAGTAGTGGTACTTGTGCAGTTGAAGGTTCTGTTTAAATGGTGTTGGAAGAGTGAATTGTATCGCCTGGTTGCTTTGTTGATGGTGGTGGATGGGATGTGTTTGGTGGGTTTTGTGGATTTTGGAGGCTATTATGTTGATGATGAAGCATTTGCAGCGCGGGGGCTGATCGGTGTTGTTTGCATGTTGAAAGGTACAGTAGATGATGTGAAGAGACGTTAACTGGGTTTTAGATTGGAATGTTGGTTTGATGTCCCATTTTGTTGCATCTTGAACTGATATGTTCTTTTTATTGCTTTGTGTGGTTTTTGCACATTGCGTCATGCCTGAGAGTGCTTTGAGGTGTTGCTAAGAAGTTGTGTGTAGTTTATGTATTTTTTAATCATACTCTAGTTTCCAGGTTTCTGGTTTTCTGGTGTGGAACTGTGAATGTCTACATATTCAAACAGGTGGAAAGTGGCCACTTTTGTATGGGGCATTTCTTATTATGATAAATGGTTGATTCAAAGTATGTCTATTGCCTTGTGCTAAAGTATAGTGTGATCCGTGCAGCATGCAATGTGTGTGGTAATGCAATCTCAGCCATCCGTTGCAACGGATGGCCAATGATGGTCATTTCAACCGTTTGTTAATGACAAGATAGGGATTTTGTTTGTGTGCCATGCATCAGTGTTCAAACTCCTCGGATTTGTAATGTGGTTCCTATTGCAGTGGCTCTTTTGATACACTTCGATACTATGGGAATACTCTATGGGCCCTAAGCATTTCAGATGTCAAAAACTATGGAGGTCCAGGCATGACACCCTATGCCATGCACTTCTTGTTTGCTTCTTTTGTAATACATCTTTCCAAAGACCCTATTATTTAAGTTTTTTGATATCAACGAGAGGCAATCGTCTCTCTCTAAAAACTTAACACGAGAGGAGAGATGATTGGGGGTGGGAATGGGTTGGCTCAGGTTGGGTCAACCTTGATACATACCCGACCTGACTAGGTCTAGGTCTAAGTTAGACTCAGACCCATTGGGACGGGTTGGGTCCAGGTCTATAAATAAAATATCATTTTTATCTTTATTTTATATCATATAGTTATATTATTTATATATTTTTATATTAATATGTATGGGTGGCAATGGACGGTACGGGGTGGCCCGACCTGGTCAGCCCGGCCTAAAAAAATTGTGAGTTGGCCACAAAATGTGGCGTGAGGGCCAGGCTAGGGCTGTATAACCATGGTTGTTTGTTTTTTGTGTTTTTTCTTCTTTTTTTTAATCTTATTTGGCTTTGCCTGGCCCTTCCCGGATAGGGCTGGGGCTTTTTATCTAGGATAGGGCCGGGCCAGGCATGGACCAGCCCTTTGGGGTACTAGGGCCAAGATTAGCCCTGCTGGGCCAGGCTTATTGGCAGCCCTATTAGCTTGTACCCGGTCTGGTGGGGCTGAACCCGACCTATCATGATAGGATCTAAGTTGAAATCAGACCCGAACCCGACTCAAGTTGGCTTGTGGGCTCAAACTTGGTCTGTCAGACCCAGTCAAGCTTACCCATTAAGTCCATACCCGACCCATTCCCCACCCTTAGAGAGAAGGGTTTGCACATTGGCAATTTCTTGGGTTTCATACGTGTTCCTAGGACTCACCACTCACTAGCCCTTAGAGAGAAGGATTTGCACATTGGCAATTTCTTGGGTTTCATACGTGTTCCTAGCACTCACCACTCACTAGGTGGAGTACTAGGAAACTGTACGAAAGCAAATGGGATGTGAAATGAGTGGCGATGCTTTTAAAATAAGGAAATATATAAAATGTGACCTTTATTTGTGATACGGGAAGGACATAATCATCATTGACCGTTAGATTTAAAATCGGACTGTTGATGATATGTCCTTGTTTAGACACAAAATTCAAAATAAAATTTTTCGAATGTTGTAACACACTTTCATTTATTGAACTGCGTCTTCAATGGTTAAAAGTGATTTTGACTCTTTATACCAAAAAGTAAATGTTTTCATAGTATGCCGGAGGATATAACTTTTAGAGCAAGTTGCACACTTGCTATGGACCAATTTTGAGATGCAATATCTGCTCGATTCCCAAAGCAATAAAATAAATGAAATTAAATTGGATCCTAAAACAATATAATTGGAAACAAATTCTATGGTGTGCATGGACTATCCATTTTTTGGGTATTTAGACTTGGTATTCAGAATGGTTTTCTAGAAGTGCGGTTGCATTATACTATGACAATCGTTGCATGAAATCACTAAAAAATATATATGTACTGAAAAATATATATTTTCAGTATTGAAACCATATTTCTCGATACTATTTGAAGGTAGGCTTTACTTTAATTGTTTAGAGCTTTTATATATGAGTGTGGTTTCTATAAGATTGCAACCTTAAACAATCGAAATAAGGTGCACCTCCAAATTTTATTATAACATGTAATTTTGGTGTAAAGAATTATTAAGATTATCTTAAAATCTATTTTCATATCTAATTATAAAATTTTAAACGTCAAAAATGGTTAACATCAAGTAGATTTATAAATATATGAAAATCTTGAAAATGGACGGTCTAGATAATGTATTGCAAGATGCACTATTTTTGGGGCTCAAAATCTTTTTATTTTCATATTCATACATCTCGATGTTGACATGATCAATTAGAGTTTCAATATTAAAACAACATTTTCCGATGGAATTTTGAGGTGTATATTTAGTTCTACATTTTGAGGTTTGCAACCCTTATATAAACTTTTTTACCTTNTTATATATTATATATATATAGTTACTAGTCGGTGGGAGGACG